TCCGTTCTCGGCCGTTTCCTGGTAAAAGGAGGAGGGGGTGGGGCTGTGTGGTCAAGAGTGGCTTTGTAATTGGTCTGGGTGGCTGCCTGCACTTTTGCTCCTTCCTTCGCGTTCCAAAGATTTTTGTGGCACTGCTGCCTTCCCTTGCCCCTTATCTGCTCCCATCCCGGTCAGGCGAAGAGGGACGGCTCATCCTGCTGCCCTCATTGAGCTTGCACGGAAGAGCGCAAAATGCAGTGGGAATGGTGATTGTGGTAGGCTGAGAAGTAACGTTTGCCCCCCTCCCCAATCCTTTCGTCCCTCATCTCCCTGCATCCCGTATGCCTCCTGTCTCCCTTTTCTGCCCATCACACCACTCCACGTAAAAACCATGGGGTGTGTGGGGAATTGGGGTACCTCCTGTGTCGGGTAGTCCCGGCTTCCCTTCCCTTCGACCTGGCAGTTAAGATCCTCTGCTTGATTTCAGAAGTGACAGTTCACACATGATGCTAAAAGTGCTTCTTTGTGTCAGTGTTGTTCATGCAAAATAGGAAAAGAAGCAGTTTCAAACCTGTAATATGGCCAAGCTAAACGGTGGCGGGCAGAGCAGGTGTTTCGTCCTGTGCAGTCAGTTTGAAATAATTGTGATCGCTTAGTGGCTGAAAGTTGGCTGTGGTTCTTTTTGCCTCGTGTGGATGCTGTTAAAGTAGAGCTTGGGACAGCTCTGGCATCCTTAAAATATACAGGGGGACTGATATAGATATCTGCCTTCAAATGCTACATCAGTGTCCTGTCAAGGGGGTAATGTCGGCGTATATAATTTTTTTGGGGGGGTAAAAGGTGAGAAAGTTCCCTGACCCCTGCTCTAACTCTTAAAATCCTTTCTCTAACTGCCACCTGCTACCTAACTGTCATCCATTCTCTTAAATATCCTTAGTTCTGCCTCTTCTGTATAGCCATTGGCTCATGAGTCAGGGTTCCATTGTGATGGACAGGAGCGGTTCCTGACCTGTCTGTCACAGGTGTCATCAGCATATTGATGGCACGATACTACACACCCCCTCCACACCCAGCGGCCTCATATAGATGTTAAACAGCATTGGGGAGATAATCGACCCCTGTGGGACCCCACAATTGAGAGTCCACGGGCCTGAGACATTCTCCCCAAGCTTCACTCTCTGGGGGCGGTCCTCCAAGAAGGAACGGAGTGGAGCCAGGCAAGCGCCAAGCCACCAATTCCCAACTCAGAGAGCCTCTCCAGCAGGATACCGTGGTCAACGGTATCGAAGGCTGCCGAGATGTCGAGGAGGACCAACAGAGACATTTTGCCCCTGTCAGCCTCCCTCAACAGGTCATTGTATAGGGCAACCAATGCCGTCTCTGTACCATGGTGCGGCCTGAAGCCCGACTGAAACGGATCCAGGGCATCTCTTTCATCCAAGTAGGCCTGAAGCTGGTCGGCCACCACTATCTCGACCACTTTGCTCATGAAAGAAACATCGGCGGCGGGCCTATAATTGCCAATTTTGTCCGCCGCCAAATTAGGTTTCTTATGGGCCTAATGGAGGGTCTCAAACTCAATTTACCTGGGGGCCGCTGGAGGCAGAGTCTGGGTGAGGCTGGGCCACATAAGATTTTCCGCCAAGCGGAGCAAGAGCCTAAGGAAGCCACCCAGGAGTTTCCTTTGCCCGGCTAGGGCTCCGGGGAGGAGGAGGGGCGTGCGAGCCCTCATCGCCGGCCATGACACCCTCTGGCTCCTTCTTCACTACCACCACTAGCAGCAGCAGCAGGACAAAGAAGTGGAGAAGGGAGGGAGCACCAGCGACCGCCTAGATGGGGGGGAGGAGGCCACAACATAATTTTTTTTAAAAACCCTCACAGAATTGCCTTGCCAAAGGAGAAAAGCCCCCATCGGTACCCGCAAAATTAAATAGAATGGGGCGCGCCCCCACAGGTGCTTGCGGGCGCGCATGCACAGAAAAAAAATACACACGGAGGTCCGGCAACCTTCCTCTGAGGGCCCCTGCTACCCCCACCACGACAGAGGAGCAAACTTTGTGAGGCGAGCCCAGGCAGCCTCCAGAGCTGAGGCAGCTGAAGCAGGATGAAGAGGAGGAGGAGGAGGAGGAGGAGGAAGCACCGCTGGGTGCTGAGGCGGCCGCTGACTGGGCTGGTGCTGGGGGTGCCGAGAGAGAAAGAGAGCCAGAGAGCCACTTCACTGGAAGTGGTGGTGGCGGCAGCTGCTGTTGGCGGCACCGTTGGAGGTGCTCTTTGAGGACAGGCTGGGAGTGAACTCCACTCTCAGGCATTGCTCGGCGGCGGCTCAGATGCTCGGGAAAAGGGCTGCCAGCAAGACAGTGCCTTTTGCACGCTCCATCTGGAACTGCAGCCTGCCAGCTGGCAGTCAGGTGGGCTGGCTGGCTGTCAGGCTGCAGTTCCGGATAGAGGGTGCAAGAGGCACTGTCTTGCAAGAGAGCCGGTGAGCACGGTGAGGCTTTTTTTTTTACTCTTGACAGCAGAGGATGCATGGGCGCTTCAGGGGGGGCAGGCAAGGCGGGGGCCACAAACTATAGTCTGGCAGGCTGCAAATGGCCCCCGGGCTGCATGTTTGAGACCCTGGCCTAATGAGTATCTCCTTGAGGGCAGATGGAAACCTGCCCTCAAGGAAAGACCCATTTATTATTGCAGTGGCCCATTCTGTTGTTATTGGCCTGGCTGGTTTGATTAGCCAGGCCGGGCAAGGTCAAGGGAGGAGGTGGTAGCTTGACAGCGGTCATGCACCTTGTCCATAGCGTCAGGCATCACCGGCTGAAAGGAATCAAAAATTCCCGGGCAAGACGGAGCACTGGACATCTCAGCTCGACTCACTGTATTCAAAAAAGGAGAGAGCTCCCAGCAGATGGCCTCCACTTTAGATTTTAAAAAGGCTCCAATTTGGCAATATAGCAACAAACAATTAAACAGACAATGAGCTACAGTGGCCCCTCGACTTACAGACGGCTCTACTTACAGACTTTTCAAGTTACACACTTCTCTGGGTGCAAAATTTAGGTTTGACTTGCAGCCTGAGAATCGACCTACAGACCAGAAAAAAACCAAAATGGAACAAAAATGTTTTGTATAGCGATGATTCCACATAGTGACGATTTTTCCGGAATGGATTATCGTCGCTATGCGGGGCACCACTGTATGCTCTTCTAGAGCTTGGAGAATTCTGTTGGGTGTGCATTTTAAAGCAAATTGGCTTCTGTGAGGGACAAGAGGCAGCTAATGCGCCGTCTCCTCCGGTTGAAAAGAACATCAAAGGGGAGGGAGAAAAGGGGGACACATTGGAGAAAGATGCCAAACAGGAGAGGGTTAAAACAGAGGTTTGCCTGTCGGAGGAGGGAAAAGTGAGGGGGAGGAGCAATGGATCGATGTGTGGGAGGAGACTATAAAGGGAGGTTTGAGCGCACGGGAGTTTCAAGTAATAATGGGCGTAAGACAAGATGAGAGGGAAAGGACCAAAGCGAGAGAAGTAAAGAGTTTATTAGAAGATTTCCCGAATCTAAAGGTTGGCGGGCTTTTACCGGACCCTACACCAAAACCAGAAGACGTTGTCATACAAGAGACCACAGAATGGACAGTGATGGTGTACCCGTGAGGGCAAGGTCCTTGGAGGAAGGTGGTAAGCCCCAATGCAGCCATCAACAAGCCTCCAGCCGAGATGGATTGGGCACGCCACCCTTGTTGTGGGACTCTATGCGTGGTGAGAAGTACCCCCCTTTGGAAGCCCACCAACAAGGAGCGTTTTGGTCCGGCTCCCTGGTTTTGAAGCAAGACTACGTAGTCAACCCATACAGGCAGGTGGAGAGAAAGTTATATGACTGGGACATGTTAGAACCCATAGAAGTTGTGATTGATACTCCTTTGTTGCAATAAAAATTATTCTGTTTTGGAAACTCAGACTCCTTGTATTCCTACTTGTATCAGTGAACCGCCAAAAACTTCTTTCGAACCTTTTGACAGCTTCATTTGTCAAAAACTGTTCCACTTGGGACAAGTAAAATCTGTGTAAGATGCTAACAACGTGCACTTTCCAGGTTGCTTTTGGTCTGTAGTTAACTTTTGCATCAGAAGATATATCAGATATGTTTTCAGTGGTTTTTGACTCAGAAAAAGTACAGGAAATGTTTATAATTTAAATGCACATTTTCCACGTATCTGCTTTTTTAAATAGCAAAAACTGAACTAGTTCAACATATGTAGCAATGTTAAGGGCTAGAAATGGATTGAACTGCCAATCTCTATATGTGGCCATGGTCAAGCTGTTATCTCTCTGCCTCAGTTCCAGTCCATTTGAATATATTTGGGTTTTTTTCTTTCAGTTTCTGGCTTTGTAATAAATTGCTTTTCTAATATAAGTTCATTTCTGAAACTCACTGGGTGCACAGCAATCCAAAGCCCAGATGGGCTCACAAATTCAGTATATAGTCCACTGGATCCTGGGTATTGTTAATGATGAGGACGTCATATTCTCAGGTCCTTTACTTGTTAAAGTGCTGAGTAATAAAGACAAGAACTAGAATGGGCCAAAGGACAGTGGTAGAACAGATGGTCTGTGTGCAAAAGGTTCCAGTTTCAATTTGCAGCAACACCAGGTAGATCTGTCTGAAGCCCTAATGAGTAGTTAGCAGTTAGTTTAATTGGTAGTGAGCTGTATAAACCGTCTTTCTTACTTAGTATGAAGCAGTCTTCTGTGGACCTATAATGTAGAGATAAAGTCTGGGCAATTGGGCTTTTTGTTTGAATATGTGAGATAACCTTATCTTTGTCATACAATTATTGATTTTAAGGTATCTTTTAGGAAGTTATATTTTACTTTATGAATTAGTTTGGCCCTTAAAGTTGCTTTTCTAGCTTTTAAGGAGGACAACTAACCAGAACATTAGAATAAGTTTAAAAATTAGTTTATATTTTCTTGTATTATATTACATTGTCTCTTAAAATATTAAGTAAATTTGATATGATTCTGTTTCTAGACCTCCTTAGCCACACGTTTTGCTCAAGAAGCTTTTGGGAAGCAGTACAAACAAACCATAGGACTTGACTTCTTCTTGAAAAGAATAACTCTCCCAGGTAAAAGAAGATTTTTGTAAAGTATATTATGCATGTTAGAGGGAATTTGGAGGAACAGTAAAGTTGTGAAAAGGGATTTACTTTGCACATAGAAAGATTTAATGTCACACATTCAGAAATAAAGGCGTTAAGAGTTAATCCTTTTAGAACACCTTGTGTTTGGAGTTGAATTGTTTTGTGTGGTATACTAAATTCTTAAGAGATATTTTTTTCCTAGGTTCCTAGCTAGGATTGAAATAGAGGATTGATAAAATACTGTTAAGGATTTAAGGCGAACAATATGATAAAAGAGGAGGAGGAAGAAGAATTTAAAATGTGAAGGCAAAAGGTTTGCTTTTAAAAAAGAATATATATTTTTAAATAAGATATTCACACTTCTAGTCAAGTTGAGGGGGGTACATATTTAATGCAGCTATGGAATAGCAAGGCTGTAATATGTGAATGCTGTCTTATGCAAGGCAGCATGAAATTGCTGGCATTTAATAGACCACTAAAATTCAGAGTCCCTAGGCAATCGTAAAAATACAGTTTCAGCATTCAAGATGTTTCACTTCATGATGCAGAGAAACTATTTAGATGCCACTTGTAGCACACTGCATGGAAAACATAAATAAGCAATTAAAAAAGAACGGCAGAAATTTAAATTTTGTTTCTAAACAATTGAGGGCTTAAAATTAGTTTTTCATTTTAACATGAGTTTGTCATCATAGAAGAGATGTAATTAAAATTATTTCTGTCTTTTATGCTTCTCTCTTCAGTAAGGGGGTCAATTCTGTCAAATTTTGATAGAGTTTTGCAGGGAGAATTTTTCTCATATTCCAGTTATTGTTGTGTGTGTGTATCCCAGCATATTTAGAACAGAAGCATTCATCTGCCAGTACAGTATGTGTTATCAAATGCTACTGAATAGCTAAATTGTGAAAAATTAACTTTTACATATTAAAATATTCTGATTATCATTGTCTAAGACAATTATGTTGTACATAGTGGCCCATTTCATCCTGTTTCATGATCCAGTGTGTTGTATAGCCTGCATGCAACCACTGTGCAGATTTCAATGCTTAAAATAGTCTATCTGTTAGAGGTTTTGCGGATTGAGCTCTTTAAAACTCATAGTCAAAATACTTTCAGGAAAGTTGTGGGTAATAACCCAGTAAACAGGGTTTCACTGTGAAAAACACCTTTAAAAAGCCTTAGTAAAAGAGGTGGACAGACATGTTTTTAGTTCCATCATGACAGTATAAAACTTTAAGTAAGGTAAACCTCAAATATACTTTTAGATGGTTGTTGTTGAATCCTGCTAGTGGCATTAATTCAAACCAAAAGAGTTTGGATATATGCCCTGACTTCTTAATATCTTAAGTTTCACTTACAATGAAACATATTTCTGGAGAGCAGGAAGAAAATAATCATACTTTCAACATAATATCTGTAGAATTTTTTAATACTAAGTTTCTGTATAAACGTTTTAATATGGAATTTTTGCTTTCAAGGGTTACAAAATACAGCACTTAGTTTTGTAAAACTTCTTAGTGTTTTGTTATTAAAATATATTTAGTATTGTGAAATTTCTACATGTGTAGTATGTAATCTCTCATTTTCATTATATTTTAATTTGAATTTAAATTAAGCATTTAGGCTTTGTTTGAAAAAAATATTTACTTGTGGTATAATTTCTGTTAAATATTTTAACTAAACATACTCGGAACATGGTCAAACTCACATGTTTACTCAGAGTAATATCTAGATTAAAAAGTTTAGGATCATAATTTTAAACATAGTTGGAGATGATTTGAATACAAACATAATGGTTTTTGTGTGTGTGCAGAGGGAGCACACATTCTTTTTTTAATTACATTTAATTTTTTTGACACATACGTACATACAAAAACAATAAAAAACCTATAAGACAATCAAAAACATGTAAGACAGACAAAACATATAGGCGGGGAGGTATTTCCCATTCAAACTTATCCATGATATAATTCTGACTACAAACAGATCTTATGCCCTATTCCCATACTACATCATATTACACATGAAGCAGGAACAAAAAATGAAAAACATTCGTCTTGAGAAGCAAGCCCATAGGAACATTTGTCTTGTGAGTCATCAACCCCCTTGCCAAAACCATTTATCTTGTGAGTTTTTTGTCCTGTGAGGCATTTGTCTTGCAAGGCACCACTGTACATCCGTATACAGTGGTGCCTCGCTAGACAGTTATCCCGCATGACAGTTTTTTCGCTAGACATTGACTTTTTGCGATTGCTATAGTGATTGGCAAAACAGTGATTCTAATGGGGGAATTTCGCTGGACAGTGTTTGGTTCCTGCTTCGCAAACCAATTTTCTTAGACGACGATTTTGACAGCTCCCTCCACGCTCCCAAAACAGGTGTTTTCGGGACCTAAGCTTCGCAAGACAGTGATTTAAACAGCTGATCGGCAGTTCACAAAGCAGCTTTCCTATGGCCGATCTTCGCTAGACAACGCTGATTCTTCCCCATTGGAATGCATTAAACAGGTTCCAATGCATTCCAATGGGGAAATGCTTTTCACTAGACAATGATTTCGCTAAACAGCGATTTCAGTGGAATGGATTATCATTGTCTAGCGAGGCACCACTGCATGTTATATTTCATATCCCTTTTTCAAATATCTAATTCAGTATCTAACACCCTAAATTTATAATAATTTTTATAAATTCTTTCACTTGCATTTCCATCTATTCAATTCTCATCATAAACATTCCTGATTTCATCTTTACTTATCCACCAATAAAGTCCAAACAAGGCCAGTGCAATCATCAAAGAACTCCATTTCTAAAGACAAAAAGATATTATATATCTAATCTTATCTACATAGTCACTATTGTAGTTCAGACATATTTAATATCTCTATATATGTGCCTTAGAAATGAAAACAATATTATATTCATCATAAACATTTCTAAAGTTCATAATTACATGTGTTTGTCTACCATTAACATTCAAACCTGGCAAGAATTGCTTATGAGTATATTACCCATATTAATTTATATATAAATATGTATCTCTCAAACCAATGATTTCTATTGTTTTGTTCAGCAAGTAACCTTCTCCCGTTTCATTTGTACTTATCATCTCCAAGTGTCGTAAGTCCAAAATTAGCCTCTTGCCTCCTTTCTGCCAATTTTAAAATGCCATCTATAAAATCTCTTTAAGGCATTTTCTCTCCGGTTTACTAATTTCATCCCAATATAATCAATGTCCTGTTTGGAGCAAAGCATATCTATCCGACCACTGATCATAAATTTCTGCCCCCATGTTTGCCCATTTCTCCCCCTTTACATTCTTTCCCATCAAGGCATTCTCAATATGTTTTTCCCCCTCATCCCCCAACCCTCCCTTTCCTCCTTTTTGAGCATTTCATCCTGCTTTCTAAGGAGAACAGTCTCTCGCTCTCTGACTATAGCAGTTCTTCAGTGATTTCAGTGGTTTCAATCGGTTTGTCTTCCATCTCCTCCTTAATATACGATCCAAGAAGTGTTGCTTTAATTTCTGCCTTGGCTTCTGAGATCTGGGCCTTGATTTGATTAATAATGTTCAGTTGGAATTCCTGAAGACAACTCTTGAAATAATCCTCCATTGTGGGTTTCAATAATGAATCTCACACTCTATCTCTAGTCCATAGCCATAAAAGTCAAACAGGCTAATTGCTCAGATTTCCCTCAAGATTTATTAGCCAGCCGGAACTCAGAGTCCTGCGAAGAGCACTCTAATCGTAAATCCAGCTGTAGTAAAGATGTTATTTTATTTATAATCCACCTTTGCAGCTTGATCCAGTCACATAGGTTAAATTGATCTGTTATTTAAAGTTCTCAAGCCTCTAGTTTATGAAAACCCAGTTCTTGGGGAGAAGGGCTTGAGGGAGAAAAGGCAAAGTTAGTTTCATTGTCCTAATTCTCTCAGGTGTGATGCAGTAAAGAAAACACCAGCATTGCAGGGATTACCACAGTTCTATGCCACTTTGAGATCTTTCTCCTTGATCAGCCTCCCCCCTAAAAGTCTGATCTATTGCTTGCCGTGAATATAGCAGTTCATTTAATCTCTGTTCATGCAATCAGATCGTAAATCTTCATACCTCCCCTTTCTCTGGGCAACTACTCACCATCATCATGGTGACCTTCACAAGTCAGTTGCGTGTAGGAAGGGAAACTTCCAAAAACAGATTGCGGTCTGAATCTCAGTGTTTCCAAGCTCTACTTGCTGCAAGACCACTCTCCTGTGGAAACTTGCCCCCCCTTTCCCTGGGGAGTCCACTGACTCAGAGTAAACCCAGGGGTTCCAGAGCCCTGGGAATTCCCCTATTCTCACTGCCCATTGCTCTGCCCCTCCAGGGAGCACACATTCTTAGAAACCCCTCTTTTTGAAAATTATAATCTTAATAAAATATTTTATATACAGTGGTGCCTCGCACAACGAGTGCACCATTTAACGACGAATCTGCATAGCGATCTATTTTTTTAGATTGCTAATGCGATCACATTGCGATGTTTTAATGGTCAAAACATCGTATTGCGATGATTGGTAAGCATTACGCTTACCGATCTTTGCATTGCAATGTTTTTCTAACAGCTGATTGGCGGTTCCAAAATGGCCGCGGGTGCCCAAAATGGTCACCACAACCATTTTTGCGCGGTTTCCTCGCTTACTGAGGGCACAAAAATGGTGGCGCTATGGAGGATCTTCACTGAACAGTGAGTTTGGGCCCCATAGGAACACATTAAATGAACTTTAATGTATTCCTATGGGTTTTTCCCTTCCGTTTAGCGATGTTTCCGCATAGCGACGATTAATCCGGAACGGATTAACGTCGCTATGTGGGGCACCACTGTACTTGTTAATTGTAGCGTGGACGTTGGTTAGTCTTCAGACTCAACAGTAGACATGAAGGTATTCGTATTTGTATATGAATATCCCCACACAGGTGGCGATAACGAGGGTTCACTCACTGATCCGCT